TTTAAAATTTTTTAGACCCAAAAGTGCCCAAAATCCTAATTCAATAGAATCCTGAATTTCAATTACTTAAATAAATAAAAAAACAGCCTAGTTATAGGCCAAACTTAAAGAAAGGGGCACACATACACCAACCCACGGCCTGGCCCGTACCTCAGGCATGCTCACAGCCATATTTAGCGTTTCCCGCTCGATTAGAACTGGAATCTACTTTCGCGGGGCGATGTTACGTGTACCTTGCCCACCTGAGATCGATCTCGCTCGCTTGAAAACATGATACCCTACTCTCCGTGCCAACTGCTGCGCATTGGACGCTAGTGGCAAAATGTTGAATAAAGAAAAATTGGTAGAATATGGGAAGGTACGAGAGTGAAATAACAAGGAGAAGAAGGCGACGTGAACGACGACGATGATGATGACGGATGGTGATGATGATGAAGATAATGATGATGATGATGATGATGATGATGATGATGATGATGATGATGATGATGATGATGATGATGATGATGGTGTTGGTGATAACTGGTAAGTGAGACAATATCAGTTTTTTTGACTTGGTGTTCCAAATACGAGATAATGCTACGAAAATTTCATGGCACGCTTTCACCAGCTCCACGGTTGAAATAGTGCTCTAGCATTACCTAAACACGGCGCATGCTTGGAGTAGGGTGCGTGCTTTATGACTATAATGATCACGTGTTTGATTCCGTATTGATAGCGCGGGCATTTCTTTAATCATTTTATAAATTAAAACTTCACCACACTGAACCGCAGAAAATGAGGCACTTGAGACTTGTAGCTACGTTGTAGGTGTGTTAAATTTACTGCAAGCCGCTAGACTTAGTCGCTCTCGTCGTTGTTCATAAGACATTGTCAGGAACATAAAGAGGTGATTAGGAGACCAAGGGGGGATACTGTATCATGTTGCCTGGATGAGAATGCTTGCCTTACACGGATTAAAAGCTTAAAGTGTCAAGGTCGTTAACCAAGATGTCTAACTCCTTGATCAATCATATAATGAAGTAATCAAAAATTTCTTGCGTGTAAGTTCCTCCAAGGTCATCTACCGTTTAAAGAAAAACTCTCTTCCGTATGACGAATTTGCTTGTCAAACGTCTTTAACTCAACACGGATGACTTGTACTTTAGAAGCGCGCAAAAAGAGTACGTGAAGAACGCGCAGATTCACAACCATATTTGGGAAACCTTTGTCTTAACTTTGGCCATGATCCTAGAACTAGAGCCAGTTAGGCACGCGTAATGTTAAATGTTTCAAGATGGCGACTTTGAAATGGAGAGAACACTAGGGATGAAGTTTATTTCAGAGGTACGAGGTGGTTCTAACTTTTGAGTCTGTGGAGGAAATCCCATGGTGTGACCATTCAAATGAAAGCTACTGAGCAGTACTTTCCTGTGGTACTGTTTATTATCCTGTACAAGGTGGTTCTAACTTTTGAGTGTGAGGAAGAAATCCTATAATGTGACCATTCAAATGAAAGCTACTCAGGAGCAGTACTTTCCTGTGGTACTGTTTATTGTGCTGTACAAAGTGATTCTAACTTTTGAGTCTGTAAATGTGGATTTGGTGGTTACCCCTATGAAGTGACCAATCAGATGAAAGTTGCTGAGCAGCAATTTCCTGAAGTGTACCAAGACCACTGACAATAAACTCGTGCACTGATGTCGTGTTTTTGGAGTTATCGGGGCGGAGACTGTGAGAGTTAAAGCAGGTGTGATTGAGTGGATGTAGGCTAAAGAATTGTCCTCTTTAAATGGTCCGACAGATAATAGAACGCCATCAATCGTCAAACTAAGATCACAATAAAAGCGAACTGTGAAGACGTGCTGTTAGATTTTTGGCGTTATGTAGTTAGGGAAGCAGTTAGGGTATGTGAATGTGATGTAGTATGCAGTAGATGATGCCTATAGGCCAATCGATCCTCTCGTAAATAGGTATATAATGGAAAAGCCATCATCGATCGTTTCTCTAAGATCACAATATTAGCATTAACTAGTAACGTTTTTTGGGGTTTTTGGACGTTGTGTGTGCGATTCGGCCACGTGATTCAAAGAGAAGTTGACTGATAAACCGAGGCAGATTTAACCGATGAAAGGCTTTTAATCGTTTGCGTCCAAGTTACACGGATGAGTAAAATAACTCGTTGCTTCACGATCTTGTTGTACGTATGGTGTGTGTGACCGTATGATTCAGTAAGCAGATGACACATAACGATGTCCACTGTAAATACGCTGGTTGGTCTAAGACCCTCAATCGTTTGAAAAGCACACTGTGTGATAAGGTCGAGCATAGTTGTCAAGCTGTCGACAAAAGCGGATTTAAAAACTTCTAAACTGGCAAGCAGGTGAAAGCCGAGTACAATGCTTTGTAAAAAGGAGTAAATTGGCTGTTTACTTTCAGGACAGGGTAACATCTGTTCTTCTTGGAGTTTGTCCGTGATGCCTCGACCAACTGTAAACATAACTTGCCAAATCTCCATAAGAAGTTATTCTTTAGAGACTATGGAACAAACATTAAGAAATGCAAACGAAAGTGAATGCCAGCGATGTTTCCGCTGCGAGAGTAGTTTGCACAAAGCACTTAAAATGGCTTTCACAAAAGGTGCCTCAATCTACTCCACAAGAGAAATCCACGAAGGATTTTGACCTAACACTAGTCAGTACTTTTGACGAGATGGCTTCTTCACCGCCAGCGTGGCTGATTTTAGTTGACACATGTTTTTGAAAAAGGCTTCACATGAAAGTTTCGCAAGAGCACACGGGTACCAGTAGATATGTAAAGGTTATAGTATGTCTCAATACAGGTCAATTAAAGAATTTGAAGCATCTCAGCAACAGAGACGTTTTGCGCAACAGCTCTGAAAAATCCTGGTCCATAAAGTTTTAACATTTTACATCGTTGTCGTTGATATAACTATCAATAACGTTTTCTGACAGTAAATTGTTAACTGGTACCGCGTTACACTTTGCTTTGGTTTCCAGAATATATTCTCGCGAAAAAATGCACTCAGGAATATAAACAAGAGTTTCAGTTAACGTGATAAGCTGCTGTTTATAAAGCAAACTGAACTTTCTCCACAGAAACCAAAAATTTCAGCGATTTCAAGATGACGATTTTAAGGAAGGGAATTAGATATAAATTTGTTGATAGGATCGTAAAGTCACACAAACACGTAAAACGATAAAAGAGGCCCGTTTATAATGGTTATTTAATGGCACATATGTGTCGCATTCATTATGTTATATTTTATTTTCGTTTATTAATCCCGTGTTTGCCAACTGGTTTGAGAAACTTCTGCCTGTCAAGAGACGCACAAAAATCTTTCACAGAAGACGTGCACGAATCTTCAAGCAAACAATTTTTTGTCAGTTTAGCGAAGAGATAAGCTTGTCTCGCCTGCCCACCGACATAGAAGTTGATAAGTCAATGTTGGGCGGGCTATAAGCCTTTTTATTGACCTGATCAGAGAGATGTTTAGACGGAACATTTTAGTCGCGATCAGTGTTGTTATTGCAGAAAAGCACGGCGTAGCGTGCCAAAAGTTGCACGTATTAACTTGTAGGCGTGATGAATAGTATATCAGACGTTAACATGGCTATACCAATATGATAAGCCTAATATAGTGATTTCTCATAATCCGATAACTGTTAAATATAATTGTTTGTGGCATTCTGTCGTTTGTATGGTGATAGAAAGAACATTTCTTGAGAGTTTGGGTTTTACTCCTAAATGAATATCTTTTTGTTGATTTTGGCAACCTGCTCGAATTTAAAGGTGTCACAAAGTTTAGGAGTTAAGAGTATTCAGTTAGATTTCAAGCGAGACTTTTGACAGCTCTTATTCATTGTAGCCAAAACTAGTTACTTTATTTCTTTATAGCGATATCGTCAACGATATAATACGATTGTTATATAAACCCCATGCCCGGTCTCCGATTTGATTGGTTTTTTAAAGCCCCGGATCATATTGCATTTTAATCGTGCGATAATTGAATTATCGCCTTAGGAGAAACTATAGAAACTCTTTCCGTGAAAATACTCGCGTAAAAGGATATTTGTTTTTGTTGATGCTGTCAAGATTGTTTGAAAAGAAAACACACCAAAGGTAACACAGAGCCACTAAGCGCGTTTGCATTTCGCTCTGTATAATGTGAAGTTAAACACTTTTATCTCCTCCATCTACATGAAAAACACACATGTAGTAATTAAAGTGACGAATTAATTAACTCCGAGGATATAATTAATACACGTGTGTGAGGCTGAGTAAATTGGTATAGCAGAATATCTAATACCTTAAATGGGTGCTAATTGACTCCTAATGGCCAACCCACGATAAGTCTTATACCCACCACATAGGAGATATGAGACTTAAAAGTAGATTGGGTATCTGTGAAGTGGAGAAAGCAGATTTACTGTGAAGCATGTCCGGTTACGGGTCTCTGTGTTTTTGGGAGTGGGAGTTTAAAAAGTATGTGAAGGTGTTTTCCCGTTTTGATCTCTAAAATACAGTATTTAAACAATACTAAGAGTACACTGGATTAGGACCCTGTCCAATGTATCTATAACTAATCCGATGATTGCGGTCGAATGATATGGGACATCGAACAGGCGGGACAGTCTTGCGTGCTCTCGAGTTTTGCTTATCCCATCTGCGAACACAGATATCAATCGAGGCCCAGCCTCAAAAAGCGTTATTCAGGAAACACATCATGTCTATATGTATATGTCTCCCATTGACAAAGAAAAGCTAAGATGATAAAAATCAACAAATCAACGCTAATGGAACAGAAAATGACAGTCAACAACGCAATGTCATCTCTAGCACCCCGTGGGCCATTGGCGGCCGTCACCTAATGGACCCCTTTTGTCTTCACCATCTACCCGCGAGCCTGTAGCTTGCCATATTCCTCGTTGACTAGCTAGCGACGACAACGTTGTCGCAACACAAGCTTCGATTTGATTTTTTTTTCTTGCGAATCAAGCATGGCGTCTTTCCGTATTGAAGACATTTTGGCCCGTCCGCACGGACCGGCGTCACACAGTTCTGGTCGGTCGTCCGAAAGTGGCAGTGGAATTGGCGTGCCTACTCCGATCCCGAGTTATCAACAGCTGAGCTTTGGTGTGGAACAAATATTAAGCAGGCACGACAACGAACAAAGAGAACCACGACTTCCACTGCTAGGTAAGAGATTCAAGGAAGCTAAGCAGTGCTCGAGCAACCATGAATTCTTTTGTACATGTACATAAGTCACCATCGTTTTGCATCATGTTATTAAGAAGGATATGTTTTATTTTGTACAGCTCGATGGGGCAGGTATTAAGTGTATTTCTCTCATAAATGTATCATAAACGATTTAATGGATTTTGACAGAGTATGAGCGAAAATTTCACAGATTGGCACATCATGGAAAGAGTAACCAGACATGCGATGAACTTTTCACGCTTTACGGTGTTATCTCTCTGAATGATACAAAAAAGGGTAAAATTAGATTGTTTATAACCGGTTTCAGCTAATCATGTAGAAATATGGCTTGTTGATAGGAACTCATATGTCGCGAAGGTAATAATATATTTTAGAATTTTTAAGCATTTCTGGCTAGAGATGGAGTATGTTGGTACAGAACAGAGAAATCAGACACAGCTTTTACTGATCATTAAACCGTCTTGGCGACACTTTCATTTGAAAAGCGGAGCGTATTGCAGCCATTAATTAAAGAAATACCATAGCACTGCTATTCTTTCGGGTATCCAAAACAGTTATAATGTTTTGGCCTTATCTCGTAAATATCAAATCAAACCACAGGTGAACAGGCCATGGTGAAAACATTGAATGCTTTGAGTTGTTTATTCACGAATCAATTAGAGCGATTTGTCGGATATGCTTTCCAAGGTTGTTATCTAGTAGAGATCGTAGAACAGAAAAAAAAAAAACAAAACAAAACAACTGTTCAAGGAGGGGGGCTACCCTTAAAAGCTTAAAAATGTAATTTAAAATCTTAAACGTGCTAAAAAGGGGCTTACTAGACCGATCAAACAACGGAAATAGTAGTGTATTCATTGTATCAAAGAGATATTTGCGGAAGTTGCGCTCTTGTGCGAATAAAACTATTGGAGTGGATATCGCTCTACAGAAGAAAAGACCAGAAATTTGCTCTCGTCTTTCGTCGGCAAATAGTTTTTCTAGATTCAGTGCGCAGTTTACTTACGAATTTTTCATACCGACTTGTTATCCCTGTCAAACGGAAAGCATATTCCTCATGATCTGCTAGTCACTGACAGTTTTTGGAGGGAACTTTTTCAGCAAGCTGTATTTGTGTACTCAGTTTGTGAAGGCGACGCAAGATACGAAATTACAGAGTAAAAATGACTTGGCGCTATGTAACGTTTACAATTGGGTGCTAAACGTTAGGTTCAAATGGTGATTGTAAATCAGTGAAAAAGAAAAGCTAACAATAAACAGTTTAAAAATTCGCAGTCGATCTTATATTGTAGTTTCCCATGGACTTGCTGATTATGTACAATCTCAAAATATTCTGACATTCGAACAGATCAATTCATAGAAACTAATAAAACAAATTTATGTCACTGGTTTACTTTATTAAGTGATATGATAGCGTGAATCTCGTCTCGTGAGATTTCAAATTGACTGGTTCTTATTCATGATTACAACGATGCTGTTTCACAAAAGAGGTGAAGTGAAAACCGGAGCAATTATAGTCAACGAAAAAGAAATCATCGCGTTTCACTCTAGTTTGCTTCGATGATTCTTTTCCTTTTTCCTTTCATTTTTAAAGCTTCCAAAAAGACTACGAAAGAGTGTTCTGTAAGGACTACTCAACAAAAAGAAATAACTGTTATTTCCAAATAGAAATAACAGCCATTTGTTTTTGTTGAGCAGTTCTTTAGATCATCTTAAAGACATCTCTCCCGTATGCCGACGGTTTTTCTTCAGGCTTCGTCTGCAGTTCATGTTTCAGTCACCATGGCCTGACAAATCTATCAATTTCATTTGTCGATGCCTTTGAATCAAACTTCCGACGTAATTTTATTAATTTGGCAGGGCGTGAAAACCATTTACGTTGCCAATAAAGAAAAGATAATCAAAATTGGAATCTGGAGTTAAACTTCAGAGAGTTTTTCCTTGAGTTACATTTCCGTTTTCACGCCCAAGGAAAATAACGAATTGAAGGCTCTGGAAAGTGAATAGTTTTGGGGTGTGGGAAAGAAAGGAAGAAAGAAGTTTAGAATTTACAAATTAAAAAAGAGGGGAAAAACATTTTCTGCGAGTTTCTTTCTCACTACTGAAATTTCAACTGAAAATACGCCCAAAAGATGAATTGTTCATAACTTTATCATACAGTAAACTCCAATCCCTAAAGTACCAACTTTCGACCATCCCTTTATGGGCTTTTCTTTGAATAAATTTTATTTCACCCACTCGCAAGCGACTCAATTGCTGAAGCAAACAGAGACAATGTGTTGAAACATCGAAGAACTATATATGATCTTATAAACGCTTTTATAATCTACTAACCTAGCAAGATCCATTTTAACTACGTGTATGGGGCGATGTCAGTTTGTAATAACTACAAACCTGGTTTATCGGTAAACTGATGAAATGATCGTATATTTGACATCTATTTAAGAGTGAAGCCTTGTAACTATCAATTCTCAGTTTTCTAGGAGTAGGAATAAACCTTGCCGTCCTTTAATGGTAGTGTGTTTAGAGCAGTTTTGTAGTTTGTATCTGTATAGAAAGTGTTTTTTGGTAAACTTGAACGGGAGAGAATGAGCCATGATTTTTGTCTGATGAATAGACAAAGAGTCATCTTACATCTACTGTACTATGGCTTAAAGCTACTGTTAGTTTGAAACAGTGTCATACTTAATTAAAGGGCCAACTATCCAGCCGAAATTTCTTTTCATGCAAGGCAATACTCGAAGTAAATTTAATATATGTCTTTCGCATTTGTTTTCAAAATATAGTCTCTTAGCCATTGTTTTTTCTTAAGGCACACATAAGAAAGTTTGCAACTTGCAACCAGGCGAATGAGTTCTTTTCGCCAATCTTCTACTAGCTATATTAATGCCTAGACTGAATAGTAGAAAGGAACACGTTTCGAGAGGGTCGTTCTCATTTTCTGTAAATCTCACTTGTTTTTAGTTCAACACTTCAAAAATACGATAGCACAAACAGAGCCGACTAGAAACAGTGTCTTTTTTAACGAGTTGTATGATAACAAACAACGCATAAACTCTGTTAAAGGTTTTACCGGAATTCAAAACACCAAAGACTAAATCCGTCTGGCGTTAAAAGAGGTTGCAAGTTTAAGTCAAAACATATCAAGTTGATATCAAGAGATTTGTTTTTGAAATCTTCAAGTTCTATCGAGCATTTGTTGGCCGCCAATGACTGAGAACTATCATTATTCTAATAGGTAAAATAGATTGTTTAGCCTATATAGACCATCTATTTATCCGCTAAACGCTTAAAATACTTGATCAGTACTTTCGATCACAAAAAAACATACGACGGGCATTATTGGACTTGCAAACACAGCATGGGATCGTTCCAGGCAAAGGCTTTCAAAACACGAGATTTAATACCATCTTTTATTTTCCCTTCCTTCGTTAAGAAAAAAACAGCTGGTATTTCGCTCCATTCTATAAATTTATCACTTTATTATTATCGCCCTTGCGGTGACAAATAACAACTCTCAATAAAGTTGACGACAGCCGCGCGATCGCTATGTCGTGAAGGACCGAGGGATAGTCTAAAATCTCAAGCATCGTTTTTTTTTTTTGCGCAATGGAGGAAACGAAAAATGCTGTAGATTTTTTAGGGTTGACACATTCAAGTGGTAAGAGGTTTCTGTTAGTGCTGTATTGCATTTCTAACCAAACCCAAAAGCCTTATTTCTTCTAATAGCTGTCAAAGCAGTTATCAAAGCGCCACGCCCAACATAAGTTCAAACAAAACTTGCGTACACAAATCATCCCATCCGACTTGCGAAAAATGGATTAGATGGCAATTCCTTTGTGCTGGGGAGAGAACATCACCCGGAATAAGTAGAAAAGAGAATGAAGTTCAAGTTAAATGAAATCAATGGGCGACACTCCAACAATAGCTAAACAAAAGAGTCGCCCCAATAGATTGAATCAGTTTTCTAAAATCCATTTACTTGTTTGCATTGCTTTTTTTATGAATGCGATAAAAGCTGAGATGGACATCATTCGTCAACGTATCGGAAAGACAAATATTTTTACTGCATAACAAAACTATTTTCCTTTCAAAACTCACAAAGGACTATTTATAACATACATCACGAGAACTTTCTGGGTAGCGTGAGAAAGGTTTCTCGATTACATGAATATCTTATCAAACTCGTTTAGTTTTTAATTCCCTAATACCACTTAATTTTAACTAAAGAATCCTTTTCCAGTGTAGTTTTCTTTGGCCTTGCAAGAAAGACGTCATTGATGTCGAGAGAAAAGCTTTTTCGTGAATGGAGCCCCACGTGTTTTTAAAAGTGCATAACACGTTTCTGGAGGACTTTTTAAAAAGATGTTGTTTTCAGTACATAGGCAGGATAATAGGGTTACTGTAAGCTTTCAGTGTAATTTGTAGTGTCTTAAAACAGTTATTCACAAATCTCTATTAAACTGCTTGTGGTAATTCTTTTTACATTTGATATTTTCTTCAATGAATATAAGCCACCCGCAAGATAATTAGTACAGTTCAATCAGACAATAATGCTATAATCAGCCATTCATATCTAGCAAATCTTTCACACATCATGTCTATTGTCTTTAAATTAGAGGAGAGCCGAAAATTCAAGGAGCCAGTATAAAGCAATGTATCATCAACAACTTCATTTGCACTACTAATTGAGCAAAAGAACACGATTAATTAAGGGGATGATTCCAATTTCTTTGTTACCATCAACAACAATAGCATTCTTTTGCTAGCTTTTCTTGTTTTCCTTCTTGCTTATTATAATGTAAGGTTAACATTGGCAGCTGGGGGACTATAGATGTTATCGAGGGTGAGTTATTTTTTCAAATTTCTCCCACCCACGAAGGGAAAGTGAACTCGGCAATACGTCATGAAATGTTTTCGTAATGAGATAAGCACGGTAATGCCAGCCTGAAGATGCGGTCAATATCAGCAATATCTTGATATTTCAAAAACAACAAGTGAAAGAAAGTAACTTTGTCTGTTGTTTTTTCGATCATGCTCCAACGACGGAAATTAAACGAGAGGCGATTAACCTCACAAAGTGCCGCTTCCCTAGCTGGTGTGTATTAAAGAAGGAAGATTTTGCTTCACGGTAAACAAGTGAAAAATAGCTTTTCACCTGCATTACAGTGTTTGCTTCTCACAGGAGTTACTCATTTACACCCACTGAGTCAACTAAAGAGATATAAGAGGCAGCCCTTACTTTTTGACTAGCCTGTGGCTTAAATCCTAAAGATTGACCATTCAAATAAAAGCTGCTGAGCAGTATTTTGCTGTGGTACTGTTTATTATGCTGAACAAGCTGGTTCTAACTTTTGAGTCTGTGGATGAAATCCTATGGTGTGACCATTCAAATGAAAGCTACTGAGCAGTACTTTCCTGCGGTACTGTTTATTATGCTATACAAGGTGGTTCTAACTTTTGAGTCTGTGGATGAAATTCTATGGTGTGACCATTCAAATGAAAGCTACTGAGCAGTACTTTCCTGTGGTAGTGACACCCTCTGTAACAGACCCAGTGCAATCTATCTCTTCACTGGGTTCTCGGAGTAAAGGTCACTGGGTTGGTCTATTTTCCACTTGTTTTTTCGTCTTAGTTGTGTACTTCCCATAAAAGAAGAAAGAGGTGGCAGGCCTTACATCTTTAGCGACATAAAAACTTTGAACATCTTTAACATGTTGCTGTAGCGAGAAGAACTAAAAAATTTACACTTTTTTATGCGAGACAGATTACCTTTACCCTCGGTATTTTGTTTTTGTCAGATGGTAATAATGTTTCGTATTTTTGTTTCCTTTAAACAAACATGACCAACGAAATACTCTTGTCTTGTAGAAAAAAAGTCGTGATAGAAAGTGACCGGGGAAGCAAAAAATAAGCCGGGTAGAAACAAACTATTCGCCGGGTCTCGGAGAGGCTAAATTATCACCGGGTAGACTGAATTTAAACCACTGGGTAGGGTTTCACTGGGTCTGTTACAGAGCGGTGTGTACTGTTTATTATGTTGTACAAGGTGGCTCTAACTCTTGAGTCTGTGGATAAAATCCTATGGTGTGACCATTCAAATGAAAGTTACTGAGCAGTACTTTCCTGTCGTACTGTTTATTATGCTGTACAAGGTGCTTCTAACTTTTGAGTCTGTGGATGAATTCCTTTGATATTACTGCTCACATGAAACCTCTTCGACAGAGCTTTTCAGCAACTCTTGCTTGGCATTGTACAAACAAAAAATCAAATTTTCCTTTCATTGTAAATTGGGGTTGAAAAGGTTGATGCAAAGGTTGCCCACAAAAATCATCACTTCAAAATTGAAAACATGAAGTTTGTCAGTATCAAAACATGCAGGCTCAAACGGATATCCCTTTCTCGGCCCCCTTTATGATCAACAGTGTCATGCCCCGTGAAAGGGAATTTGGATTCCGGAATACGGGACATTGTTACTCGTGGAATCCGGAATCGGAATCCTGGGCTTTGGAATCCGGAAAACAACTCAAGAAATTCGAATCTCAAAACGATAGGAATCCGGAATCCAAGATCTACTGACAAAGACTGGAATCCAGTACGTAGAATCCGGAATCCCCGGCTTGGAGTCCACAATCCAAGACTGTCTTGGATTCTCTGACATGGGGCGAAGTGTCGCAACAGTATGAAAAAGCTAAGAAATACACCATGACATCTAAGAACTTTCGCGGAGTATTTAAAAGTGTTTCAATTTGTTTTAACATTTCGTGTAATAAAACTAAATCTAGTGAGAAATCTTTGATAAGTAATTAACTGAAGAACATTATGCTTTAGATAGCTAAGGAATCTCTTATGTCTGACTTACATAGGTAGCCATAGTTTTGATTCCTTGGAAGCCTAAGCTTATAACGAAGATGAAATCATTTTGATGACAGCTTCTTTTCTGTGGTACTTTTTTTCACAAGTATACCATGAAACGTCGACTTCAAAATTTGAACGAAATTTTCCTGTGGTAATTTTTGCAGTACTGTACAAGATCTGAGGTAGTATGAAATTACACACGTCTCCACCCCCTTACCTGTGGGGGAAGGGGGGGGGAGAGAGGGGGGGGAAAGTCTGCTGGGAGGGTTACCCTCTTTCCGGGAAAACTTTTCTCCAGAAACGCGGCTTGGTTCGTCCCTAGTCTCTCTCCGTTGTCTCTTAAGATTAAATATTATTGAGGGAAGTGCGTGGGAGATGCGATCGCGGAAAGATGAGAAGCAACTTTCCCTTGATACTGTTTCCATATTGTTCTACAGAAAATGCTAAAATCTCTCTTTAAGAAAAAACTGTTCAAAGTAACCGCTTATTGACTGAGAGGTCGTGCTTTTAACTCTTGACATCATCTTGTGTCTCCCGCGTGGCCCTCCCACGGCAGAGACACACTTATCTACTTGCCTGAATGAACCAGCAACAAAAGCAACAAAATTTGAATGCTAAACGTATGCATTGCTTAAAGAAAATAGCCTTGCACACAACGCCCAGTTGTTGGAAGGCCGATTAGCGGTAATCCGGGGTTAAATTTTAATCCGCATGTTATTTTCTTTAGTTCAAAAGCATTTTCTGGGATAATTTTCTGGATTCTTTGTAGAGCATCCAATCATCAAATTGTACACAAAATGAATTAAACTTCATTTGCTTTTCAAACCTTCATATCTGAATCCAAATTTAGAACTAAACCCTGGGTTGTCTTAACCCAGGGAAGAGCCCGGCGCATGATCAGGGCCCAGTTGTTTGAAGGCCGATCAGCACTAACCTGGGGTTAAGTTTTAACCTGGGTCTCCTTTTCTTTTCATCAAAAGCATTTTCTCGGACAATTTTTGCTATTCTATTTACAGCATCCAATCATCAAATTGTAGACAAAAGGAATTAAACTGAATTAGCTTTTTAAGCTTTCATATCTGAATTCAAATTTCGCACCAAGTCTGGGTTATCTTAACCCAGGTTGAAGAACCCGGCCCAGGAATATAATTTCCAAGAAACGCACAATGAGGACAAAAAGGGAAATACTACGTTCTTGGACCAAATACATACCAGTGAGCATTTATCCGGTTAAGGTCTGATTGTCTTCATTGATATTTTGCTTAGGGGCATATTCAGTGGTTCCTAACACATGTGATCATCTTCACGCGACATATTGGACTTCACCGTACTTCACCGCACACCCCCAACCATTCCTGTGTGGATCTTTACTTCATCCTACTTGTGACACGTGTCACACCCACAGCCCTTACTCATACAGCTCGATATCCGGTAAGATATGGCATTTATTACCTGTAAAGTAGATAAACCGAGTCAATTGAGGATGAAGGTCCCTTATCCTCTCTTTACCAAGTACAACTCATGCCCGCATTTTTATGCGTATAAAATCTGTTCAGCGCCAAACAAAACGGAGCTTAAACAGCCACGACCACGACGACAACTAAGGGCCTTTTTACATGGAGGTGGGGGACCTCAGGTAGGTGAGGTGACATGTGGCGGGTAACCCCACCTATCATGTAAACGTGATCAAATTGAAATGAGAGATTATATGGACAGGCGGGTTACCCCACCTACCTGGGGTCCCCCACCTCCATGTAAACAGGCCCTAAATTGCCCAAAAAGCAATTGGTTTTATGAGCAAAACAACGGCTCTGCACGTGCATCACGCTTTTTTAGTACATTTCGTTCACGTCCACTGCACCACTACGATTTGAAACCTCCTAATGCGACGTTTTATGGAGGACCTGAACATACCACGAAAAATTTCCCTTTCTCTTTTTGAACCTGGATAAAGTCCTTAAGAATTCAACTCCAGGAAAATTGCTTACATTTGACACATTGAAAGGTTCCAAATAGACGCGATGAAGTTTGAAAAACTTAAATTCATTTTTTAAAGCGACTTTGTCACTGCCGCCGTCGTGGTCGTTGCTTATGCTCCACACACAGTTGGTATTCGTTCTTATATGGTTGCAATTCGGGTACAGCTGTTTCGAGAAAGGTTGTAGGAAGAAATGCGCACGCGACAATCCCGAAAGGTAATATGGTATATGATCAATACACTGTTCCTAACGACTGAAGCTGTCGAACCTACTTTTGTTGCTTTCCTTTAGTACTCTCAAACATATGTCCGTGGCCTTCCGTACCATTCTTTCAAATTTCTTTGAAGAACAGTGTCCTCAAAGGCACCCACAATACCTTTCGGGATTGTCGCGTGCACTTTTTCCGACAAGCTTTCTCGAAATAGCTTTATATTATTATCACGCTTGTCACAAAGCGTGGTAGATCAAGAACAACAACGTTGTTAGATGTTACGTTACCTTGATGTCACCTCCTTAATCAATAATAGGCTATTGTCCCACTCACATCAAAGCTTAAACACGTTTAAAAACTGTTTACTTTAACTCGTATCAAATTTTTTTGTTAAAAAAGTTGTTTACTGTGCTTTGATTGATAGCAAATTTAGTGTAAAATAGATTGTACAATTTTAAGTCAACTTAAGACACATTTTTGGACAAATCCAAAAGGACAATGACAAAAAGTAAAAAATATGGTTCAAATTAGTTTGTACAAATCGACCACACTTACCCCGTACAAATGCAATTATAGATGGAAACGAGGATGAATTTGACCTTGTTTTAGTACAACCCTACCTGCTTCCTTGAAATTATGTTGTTCTTATGTTAAACAATATTTTTCAAGCATAATTTCGGCAAGAAAACAAAGGAGGTTTCTATGAAAACAAGATCAATCTTAACCTCACATTCACTGGACGGCTAGGTTACTAAGCCCTCAACTGTAAAATGCTTTAATGAGAGCACGCATTATTGGGCAAACACCGTTCCGCTTTGGCTCTGGTGACCTTTAGCTATGACTACATCACTCACTCCTTGTAACTACTGGAGTGGACATATCAAAAGTTTGATATATTTTGCTCGGCAAGTGAATAACATTTAATTTACAATCCATTGTTAATTTTACAGGAATTTATAGAGACTACAGTGCCACAGTTCTCAATAAAACTATACCGGGTCAAGTCTTACCCGGCCAACCAAAACCGAGAAAGCCAAGGAGGCCATGGACACGAGCAGTGTTTTCAAATCTACAGAGGAAGGGCCTAGAAAAACGGTTCCAGCTTCAGAAATACTTAACAAAAGCTGATCGCCACCAGCTGGCGTCCATGCTGGGGTTATCTGACAACCAAGTTAAAGTCTGGTTTCAAAACAGGCGAATGAAATGGAGGCAAGACGCTAGAGAAACAGTAGCCTCTGGTAGCTCTGAAGAAACTACGGAAAGATCAGAGCAGTAGTTGTTTGCAAATTTAACGTCACCTAGTCACGATTAACCGGTGTAATGCTTATAGAAAAGAGCGTCATGCTCAAAACGGCCATTAAAGGAGTACTGTACTGTAAATACCGATGAATGCCAGATAAGCTTTCGCGTTCACACGTGAAAAGATCACAGTTGTTGTGGTTATAATATATCGCAGCAAAAATATACTTAAGTGTTGGTGTTTCATTGGTGTTTATATAATGAACATTTCACTCGTTCTCTGCGAGTATTTCGTATCTCCGAGCTTCCATGTAAGATCCTTTATGTATTGTATAAAGGGGTATACTAGTCTTAAGTAGGGGTTTGCAGTTTTCGAACTATAAACACAAAAATCCCTGGCAATTTTCCAAAAAAGAGGCAAAACGTCAGCCTGAGGAAACAGCCGACATTTTGCGCGGCCACCACCGGTTTCCCCGCAAAATTCCGTACTGATAACGTGTCACTAGGCGAAAAAGCGGAGTCTAAACATGACTGTTACCAATCGGAAGTACCACCCAGATCTGCGTAGTGACCCATCATCAGTACGGAATTTTTGCGCTCGTTTTTCAAAAGCCATTTTGCGGGGAAACCATCGGTGGCATGAGGAAATGTAGGCTGTTTTCTCAGGCGTGCTTTACTATTTAATTTTAGTCGTTCCGTTCAATTCATATTGGGACTAACTTTCATTTTGGGACTACCATCTTCCTTCTTCTCAAGAGCAGTACGATCTCAACAGCAGTCAAAAGTCTCCATCATTTTCCTTTTAAAAATATCACTTATTATCCTTTTAATGGTGATTTTTTTATTCACCATCAAGTGGGAAAAAAGACAAGAATATGTAAAATAGTCAATTAATGTAAAAATCTTTTAATTTATTCTCAAAATAGTGAGCTTCTTTTAGTTGAAAACGATTCTCCTCGAGCAAACATATGCTCATAAATGGCACCGGCGATTCTGCAGATTTAAATTTCAAACACTAGATTGGAAACGTGATGTTTCCACGTGATTGGAAACATTTCAAAAAGTTATTAATTAAAATTAATATTGTATTGGTAATCCATGCAACTATGAACAGTGGAAAAAGCAATCTTAACTGTTAAGCATTTTGCTCAGCTTGTGCAAATCTCTCAAGGTTAAATCATCGCGCCTCTTTGGACGCTCTGAGAAAAACTATTCGTTTTTACATCGTCAATTTGTTTGAGAAGTTAAATGAACACTCGACACCTTGTTTCGCATCTCACGATCACCTCAAAAGTTCCACAAACGTGCGTCATATTTTCCACGCCCTTTTCGGTGTTTGGTATGTGATCAAACACTCCCTCTTGTGTTTAATCTATGACCTGAAGGTGTTCAAAGTTATTATTGGCGAATGGTATTAACTATTTGCTTTTATAAAGCGTTTTCATTCTGTAGTTTTCTAGACTGTTGTAGTTTGGTGTCCGAATAGCAGAATGTAAACTAAACCTTTATTTTGTACAGAAAAATTATTGTAAAATGTGAACTTCACGTATGGCAAATCACAGAGTCGCTCTCAGCTATTATTATAGTAATAAATAGTAATAAATAATTTTGGGTCGAGTCGAGAGAGAACAATACGAGAAAGAGAGAAACGCCCTGTCTTACCATTGGGATATGCCAATTTCACCCAAGTTATTTTTAGACCAACAAAACGCTTGGTATTAATCGGAAGTTTTATGGTTTCCGGAGAGGTCAGCAAACCTTTATTCAATGTTCCAAGAGAAAGAGAGAATAAGGGGACATTATGCTCTCTTGGTGTGTAGCAATTAAAATATTCTGAATTGTTTGCTTTGAGGAAGTCGTGCCTGGACTTCATGACGTTTCAAACAATCAATTTTAACGTGCGGACGTCCAAGGAGTTAGACTTCCGTTTAAGAACAATCTCAGGGAAATTCAGATATACCGGCCACCGCCCGAAGATTTCCTCTCTGTTCCATATATTCTCTCTTCGTCCAGTGTAACTGGAGAACTAGCGATTTAGAAAGTGCTTGGTTGTGTTGCCCCAGTACGATATTACTCTTGCAAACAAATACTTAAAACTAAATTTTCGTTCCTGAGTGAATAAAAAACGTATGTACTAATTCTTCATGCAGTTAAATTATTAGGTGAAGTACAGTGTAAGTTACCTCGTAGAGCTCAGTATACGCGTAAAATATGTTATGTGTTACTGAGTGGTAAAATTAACGCATAAATCTTTCACTTGTGGAGGGTAAGATTGTATGGTGTTCTAAATTTTAAATCCTGTGGTATTTAATGTATATTTTGCTATACGGGGTAGTTCTAACTTTTGATATCTGTGGATGAAATCCCTAAATATCACATTCCTTTATCTTACCTACTTTATTTAACCCTGAGTGTTTTCATAAACTTTTTACTGCTTAGATTGGTCACCAAATGCTTCATTTATTNCGTTTAAGAACAATCTCAGGGAAATTCAGATATACCGGCCACCGCCCGAAGATTTCCTCTCTGTTCCATATATTCTCTCTTCGTCCAGTGTAACTGGAGAACTAGCGATTTAGAAAGTGCTTGGTTGTGTTGCCCCAGTACGATATTACTCTTGCAAACAAATACTTAAAACTAAATTTTCGTTCCTGAGTGAATAAAAAACGTATGTACTAATTCTTCATGCAGTTAAATTATTAGGTGAAGTACAGTGTAAGTTACCTCGTAGAGCTCAGTATACGCGTAAAATATGTTATGTGTTACTGAGTGGTAAAATTAACGCATAAATCTTTCACTTGTGGAGGGTAAGATTGTATGGTGTTCTAAATTTTAAATCCTGTGGTATTTAATGTATATTTTGCTATACGGGGTAGTTCTAACTTTTGATATCTGTGGATGAAATCCCTAAATATCACATTCCTTTATCTTACCTACTTTATTTAACCCTGAGTGTTTTCATAAACTTTTTACTGCTTAGATTGGTCACCAAATACTTCATTTATTTGCATATTACATAAGTTTTCTTTTTTGTAGTTCAATAAAGACACTTTAGTTCAAGAACGACAACAAAGTTCAGTAACAACTACATGAGTTCAGAAAATGACATAAGCACCACTAAAACCCAGTGAAAATTCAGTTTTAAACACTGCGCAGTTAAACAAAGACACAAAAGTTCAAGAACGACAATATAGTTCAATAACTACTACATGAGTTGAGAAACTGATACAAGCAACAATGTTTGTTTATTTAGTTAATGTTAAGGAGGGGGTCAATCGGGACTGGGAATGCGGGGCGCCGGCCCCTTTTTTTAGCATATATTTTTTTTTTATATATAATCGGACTGTACGTTATTCACAGATAACTTATTGGGTCAAAGCTTATTTGAGTCATGCCCATGTGCCCAGAAATTTTTAAGCAGGAGTTGCGACTATGATCATCTTCGCGAAGGCTTTCATGTGGGGAGAATTGGGCCTTATGGGTTAACTTTTCAAACTGGAGATTGAGTCTCGTCACTGAAAAGAAAAGCTATTAAGTCTGTAGTACTACATAATTATAGTTGCAAAATAACATTTGGAAGTTGTCATTATTTTGAATAAAAGAGTAAACTGAATGATACATTTCTGTAACTTTCCCATTGTGGAATGTGTCACAACAAAAAAAGGGCACGCGTCGCGTTTTTTTTTATTTTAAGTGTCGGCACGAGTGGCGGCTCCATCACGCATTGTGGCGGAAAGGAAATTGTAAATATACGTCATATTTTAAGCTTAAGGACCATCTTTCCGTGATGTAATTTATATCATTCTCAAAGAGAACCGATTTGGCGGTGTTTTCTTGTTATTTACCTGTAAATGAACAGTTGTTTATAAGCTCATGCATGCAAGGTGAAGTTATTGCTTTTCTCCGGTTTTGGTAAGCGCCTAACTGCGCAACGCGTGCCCGCTGCGAAAAATATCAGATGACTCCGCAAAAGCGCAAACCTATTTAAACCAAAATGCTTTGACCATAGTTAGTGTATAAGCAGATTAAATGTAAGAGTTGAGCTCTTCATTCTCTGTCCTATTGTAGTTTTCAAATGAGTTTGATGAGAAACTTTGTCAATTGTTTTTTAGAGTTTGCGACCAAAATCCTACGAGACGATGTGACCATTCAAATGAAACCTCTTTAGCCTTACTTTTGCGAGGTGCTATTTATTAATTAAGATTCTACAAATTGAAAGTGGGATTTTGTGAGAATTTTTCCTTTAATTTGCGCATCACAAGGGGGAAAGAGTCAATAAATTGCTAGACTGAAAATACCTACCGGGTTTTAGCCGGTGTTTTGGTGTCATTCGCTCAACTTCTTCAAACTTTCACCGCGTCGTATAAACTTTCTCCTCTTCATCATTTTTAACCGATCATTGTGTCATTGACCATGAGAATAGCGGTTAATTAATTACAAGACAAATTGCAGACGTCAAAATTTCTCAACCAAAATAACCTTTGTCAGTCTAAAGAGGTTAAAAAAGAAACGGTAGGGTTTGAGGGGGGGTGGGGGGGGGGGGTGAATGTTAGTATCAAAGAAACTGTTTTCACTTAGAAAACTATCTGTTTCTCGTACGATTCATTGTTGAACAAGTTTTTATTTGCCCATTAACATTTGTGTCCTCTTAATCTTTTCAGTCACAAAAAAAACTGATTCCAATTTCTAAATACGTAAAGAAATATAATCATTATCTGCCCTTCCATATAGGTTATTTACTCCTTGAAAACTGTGTGATAAGAGAAGTTATTTTACTGTTTTAAGAAATATTTGTAGATAAACGTACAAAAAACCATCTGAATTCATACATTTGCATTTCTGATTTTAAAATATTAAAAAGGTACCTTGAAGTCCATTACTTTAGCGAATAAAAACTGACAATCGGCCACGGAGTTGTAAAAAAAGAGATAATTAAAATAGAAAACGGTAATTGAAAAAATGCTTTGTTTAATATAGACTTATTCTTCTGAGATCATATCTGTTTTAAAAGAAAAGTGAGTAATCCACAATAGACGA